ATTATAATATAAATATATATAATAATATAATTTATAAATATAAATATTAATAATTATGATATATTATAATGATATTATTAATATAATCATTAATATTTATTAATTTATCCTATTAGACATAAACTCGAGTATTATTTATTTTTTATTTATTATACCGTTCTACGTCTCTCGATAATTAACCTCGTTTATTAATTTATTCGATTTACAATTTTTTCTACTCTTTTAACACAAAACAGAATTTTCGAAATATTATAAAATCTTATAAATATTATAAAAGTGTCATGAAATCGAATTTATATATCAAATATAATTAAAAAAAGAAATTATAGTTTTTGATTTTTTAAAATTCTGAAACCAGAATTTCTAGAAGGATAAGGAGAGAAAGAAAGAAAGGAGAAAAGTAATAGTCACTGCAGGATGAAAGGTGCCGACAGCGAGGAAGAGTATGCTCCTGGTATATGTACACCATTGTTACAAGTGCAAGGTTACATGCAACGTGCATTGTGTATCTGGACGATTATTTCCCCACTGTGAGACGATCGTCGATTCGCTGTTTGCACAATATGAACGGTTCTTTCCAGGCTGTCGCCTTTCAGTTTCATACTTAGCCTGCTCTCTAAATCATTCGGGGAACAACTTTATCGTGTAATTCTCGTAATTCGTTCTGTGCAGACGACATTCCAATGCCTACATTTGCATCGTCGAATCGTTTAACGATCTGAACGCAGGTTTATTCAGTTTACAGGTTAAAATTAGAGTCTTTTACGCCGTCTTATAATTTCACATTCTACGCAGACGCACAGCGGCTATTCAGTTGACAGTGAAGTACATTGCCGCCAACCTATTCACCTAACCTATTAAGCATTGTTATTATCTCTTCAATAATTACACGAGTAATTGGTTTCGTGATAAATACCTAGTCAACATCACATGCATTGAATTGTGCTTCAAATAGATAATTCTTTCAAAATTCTGTTCGGAAAATGTGTAAGTATCACGCAGATCGTTTTAGGTTAATGTTTCTTTTTATTTACATTTCCAGAAATCCACGTGCAAAGCAATTAATCGTTTTCGACTATTTGACGTTTGTTTTGGAACGTCATTACAAAATTGTAACCGAAGAAGGAAATAACCAGAATCCGTTAAATATTTTTTCTCGTTTTGAATAAATTTAAGAGTTTAACGAGTGATTTTAGATGACGTTGGTGTATAAATTGGTTAATATTTTTATTTTAACGTAACATTGCTAAAAGTTTCAAGTTTATCAGGAAATTCTGACGAAGCTATTTTTTTTTATAGGAATGACACGTATTTATTGAGACGAATCCCGATATAGGATTTATAGTAGTGATTTATAGTGGCGTTGCATCGTGAAGTCAAGTATGATTATATCTTGTATTGGCCACGTGAAACTACTGGCAACACGTGATCAAAAAATTCGTTGATGACA